TAAAGACTAAAGACCAGATGAATTGTGGGATGACATCAAGGACATCATACATTAAGAAAGCAAAAAGTCATTAAAAAGACAGGAAAGAAAGAAAAGAACCAAAATGGATGTCAGAAGAGAGCTCTGAAACTTGCTCTTGAATGTAGAGTAGCTAAAGGGCATGGAAGAAATGATGAAGTAAAAGAACTGAACAGGAGATTTCAAAGGACAGCTTGAGAAGACCAAATAAAGTATTATAATGCAATGTGCAAAGACCTGGAGTTAGAAAACCGAAAGGGAAGAACATGCTTGGCATTTCTCAATCTGAAAGAAATGAAGAAATATTCAAGTCTCGAGTTGCAATACTGAAAGATTCTGTGGACAAAATATTAAGCTATTCAGGAAGCATCAAAAGAAGATGGAAGTAATACAGAGTCACTGTACCAAAAAGAATTGGTCAAAGTTCAACCAGTTTAGGAGGCAGCATATAATCAAGAACCAATGATACTGAAGGAAGAAGTCCAAGCTGCACTGAAGGCATTGGTGAAAAACAAGGCCCCAGGAATTGATGGAATACCAATTGAGACGTTTCAAGAAACGAGCGCAATGCTGGAAGCACTTACTCATCTATGCCAAGAAGTTTGCAAGACAGCTGCCTGGCCAACCAACTGGAAGAGTGCCATATACATGCCCATTCCAAAGAAAGGTGATCCAGCAGAGTGTGGAAATTATCAAATAATATCATTAATATGGCACACAAGTAAAATTTTGCTGAAGATAATTCAAATATGATTGCAGCAGTACATCGACAGGGAACTGCTAAAAATTCAAGCTGGATTCAGAAGAGGATATGGAACGAGGGATATCATTGCTGGTGTCAGATGAATTATGGCTGAAAGCAGAGAATACCAGAAAGATGTTTAATTGTGTTGTATTGACTATGCAAAGGCATTCGACTGTGTGGATCATTACAAATTATGGATAATATGAGAAGAGTGGAAATTCCAGAACATTTAATTGTGCTCATGCAGAACCTGTACATAGACCAAGAGGCAGTCATTTGAACAGAGCAAGGGGATACTGCATGGTTTAAAATCAAGGAAGATGTGCATCAGGGTTGTACCCTTTCACATACTTATTCCATCCATATGTGGAGCAAATAATCCAAGAAGCTGAAGTATATGAAGAAAAATGCAGCATCAGGATTGGAGACGGACTCATTACCAACCTGCTATATGCAGATGACAGAACCTTCTTTTGCTGAAAGTGAAGAGGACTTGAAGCACTTGCTGATAAAGATCAAAGGCTACAGCCTTCATTATGGATTACACATCAACATAAAGGAAACAAAAATCCTCACAACTGGACCAATAAGCAACATAGTGATAAGCGGAGAAAACATTGAAATTGTCAAGGATTTCATTTTACTTGGATCCACAATCAACACCCATGGAAGCAGCAGTCAAGAAATGAAACAACGTATTGCATTGGGCAAAGCTGCTGCAAAAGACCTCTTTAAAATGTTAAAAAGCAAAGACATAACTTTAAGGACTAAGGTGCACTTGAGACAAACCATGATCTTTTCAGTAGCCTCATATGCATGTGAAACCTGGGCAATGAATAAGGAAGACTAAATAAGAACTGATGCATTTGAATTATGGTGTTGGTGAATATCATGGATTGAATTGTGTCCCCCCAAAATATGTGTCAACTTGATTAGGCCATGATTCCCAGTATGGTGTGGTTGTCCTCCATTTTTGCAATTGATATAATTTTCCTATGTGTTGTAAATCCTAATCTCTGCCTGTGGTTAATCAGGCAAGATTAGATTATGTTAAAGAGGATTAGGGTGGGATGTAACACCTTTGCTCAAGTCACGTCCCTGATCCAGTGTAAAGGGGTTTCCCTGGCATGTAGCCTGCACCACCTTATATCTTACAAGAGATAAAAGGAAAGGTAAGCGAGCAGAGAGGGGGGAACACGTACCACCAAGAAAGCAGCACTGGCAGCAGACTGCATCCTTTGGATCTGGGGTTCCTGTGCAGTGAAGCTCCTAGTCCAGTGGAAGATTGAAGAGAAGGACCTTCCTCCAGAGCCAAAAGAGAGAGAAAGCCTTTCCCTGGACCTGACGCCCTGAATTTGGACTTGTAGCCTACTGGACTGTGAGAAAATAAATTTATCGTTGTTAAAGTCATCCACTTGTGATATTTCTGTTATAGCGGCACTCGATGACCAAGACAGTGAAGAATGTTGAATATATCATGGAATTCCAGAAGAACTAACAAATCTGTCTTAGAAGAAGTACAGCCAGAATGCTCCTCAGAAGTGAGGGTGGTGAGACTTCGTCTCACGTACTTTGGACATGTTATCAGAAGGGAGCAGTCCTTGCAGAAGGACATCATGTTTGGTAAAGTAGAGGGTCAGGGATAAAGAAGAAGATGCTCAACAAGATGGATTGACAGTGGCTGCAACAATGAGCTCCAACATAGCAATGATTGTGAGGATGGCGCAGGAACGGGCAGCATTTTATTCTGTTGTATACAGGGTCCCTGTGAGTCAGAATGGACTGGATGGCACCCAACAACAACAACAATTATATATATATATAAAATACACACATATATGTGGAGCCCTGGTGGCACACTGATTAAAGCACTCAACTACGAACCAAAAGGTCATCGGTTCGAATCCACCAGCAATTCCGAGGGAGAAAGATGTGGCAGTCTGCTTCTATAAAGATTGCAGCCTTGGAAACCCTATAGGGCAATTCTCTTCTGCCCTATAGGGTCACCAGGAGTCAGAATCGACTCGACTGCAACAGGTATATACACACACATGTATGTGTATATATATATGTGTGTTATACATACATGTGTGTATATTTATATGCGTGTGTGTCTGTGTGTATGTGTATACCTGTTGCAGTTGAGTGATTCTGACTCATAACGACCCTATAGGGCAGAATAGAATTCCCATAAGGTTTCCAGGGCTGTAATCTTTACGGAAGCAGACTGCTACATAAATACATATATGTGTGTGGGAGCCCTGGTGGCTCAGTGGTTAAGAGCTTGGTTGCTAACCAAAAAGTTAGCAGTTCCAATCCAGCAGCTGCTCCTTGGAAACACTATGGGGCAGTTCTACTCTGTCCTATAGGGTCACTATGAGTCAGAATCAACTTCACGGCATTTTTTTTTTTAAATATGTGTGTGTGTGTGTGTATGTAAGGAAAATTATATTAATACTGCTCAGTGTATATTCCCTATTTTAAAATATAATTTCTCTTCCTTGTCTTTCATCCAGAGTTGTTTCTTCCTTTCTGTTACTCGCTTTATTCTTTCTCTCTTGCTTCTTGCCATATTCCACTGTAAAATAGATCGCAAGCGTAAGGGTGGTCCTAAGCTAGTAATTCTTCAATGGACCATCCCAAGTGTGACCTTGTGTGCTTCAGAGACAGTGGGGTTTTTGAGCACAGATGTCTCTGGGGGCCAGGCAGTTATCTCCTCCCTCCCCTAATGAGGGTATAGTACAAAGAATGTAATTCAGTAGGGAGGAGTGGTGGGCACTCTGACAAACATGTTCCATCTAAAGAAGGCAGTTGTATCTCAGCCCCAGTTGGGTGATGTTGAGTAGGATGTGAGCCAGTGCTGCCAGATATTCAAATTTCAGAAGTGCAGCCATAAATTCAGAATTTTCGTGAGAAATCTCCTGAATTTTTAATGTTAAAAGCTAATTCAAATATTTAAAAAATTCAGCTGCGCCTTGTTTGAAAATTTGTTCTAATCTGAGGGACAACAGTTTTTTGTCTTCTGAAATTCTGAGATTATGCTATTTGCTTCACTTTAATGTTCCAGAAATGTGCTGTCCAGTACAATAGCTGCTAGCCACATGTGACTATTAAGCACTTGAAATGTGGCTAGTCCAAATTGAGATGTGCTGTTTAAGTGTAAAATACACAACAGACTGAAGATTCAATGAAAAAAATAAAAAACAATGTAAAATATCTTATTAATAGTTTTATGTTAATTTCAAGTTGAAAAGAAAACATTATGGATATATTGTGTTAAATAAAATACATTATTAAATTCATTTCACCTTTAAAATTATTTTTTAAATGTGGCTACTAGAAAATTTAAAATTACATATGTGGTTCATATTATATTTCTATTGGACAACATAGCTCTAGAATTTAGAAAATAGTCAAGTATAACCCCTTCAGATTTAGGTAGTCAGTGACCTGGGAATCTGCCTGGACCAGCAGCAGTGAATTGTAGTGGATTCCACACTAACACCCCTACTCAGTGAGCCTTGTTTGTCTATGGCTGCATTGTCTATTCATGTTGATATTGCCCATGAACACTAAGTCAGCCCCTGCAGGTGCCTCTTAACAGACAAGGATCAAGATTACTGGCTCGATGAAGCTGATGTCTCCTGGGGCACTGCCATGGAGGGAAATCATTATGTCAATTTATCTCTGCCCATGTGCCACTCTTTGGATTATGACAGAAAGGGACATGGGAGACTATTGCAGAAGACCTGGAGCATCTTGGTGGAGACGAGCATGCTAGCAATGGGTAGGAGAGTCTCTCTGAAAAGTTGATGTACTGGGGCCTCTGTGAGAAGACGAAATATGAGTGAGGAAGGAATTCCGACTTATGGAGCACCCTCTCTGGATAGGCACTGTGCTAGATGCTTTACATAGAGCATCTCAGACCAGAGCATTATTTTCAGAACTCTCTGGTAGAAGAAGTTTAGATTTTTTTTTACGAGAATTATATTCTTGGCTTTTGAGGGGTAGGGTCCCAGACAGGGGAGCGCTGACCAAGCAGGGTCCCCAGGGAACTGCTTGGTAGTGAACTGGGAGATAATCTCAGCAAATGTCAGAAGTCCATGATCTACGGGTTGGAATTGTCTTTGGGCTTTTTTACTTATTGGAAGTTAAATGATCAAATAGTTGGGATTTTTGTGATATTTTTACTACTGCTACTAGCATCTAATGACTATTCATGGAAATTATTTTTCAGAAAATAACCAATTCACCCCAGAAGTTAATCAGCTGCAGAAGGGAAGAGGTGGAATCCTGTGCCATGTCTGTGCTGTCTCCTGAGGAGCTCCTCAGGGCCTGGATCTAATGGGCTTGCGAAAGGCCCAGCTGAAGCTGAGAACTTGGTCTGCACGACACAAGACCTATGAAGAAAGGTTGTGTTTCTATTTTCCTCTATGGACAAGAGGCAAAGGAAGCAAGAAGAGCCTGCCCTGTCCATGCCTAGATGCACCTGTCTGAGGCAGAGTGGTTTGGTGGACAGAGCACTGACTGAGGGTCAAGAGATGTGCCCTTTAGACTTGAGTCTGCCATTCACTAGCTGAGTGACCCTGGGGAATGTGACCTAATCTTTCTGGTCCTCAGTTTTCTCATCTGTAAAATGGGGGGATGAACTACACATCTGTTAAATAACTAAATAATAAATTTATATATTTAAATATAAATATATATATATATATATAAATCCAGCACTTGTAGGACTGTGGGGGAAGCCATTACGATTGGTTCAGCTTTTCTGGTATATAAATATTTAACAAGAACTATCTGGTGTAGTGGTTTAGAGCTTGGCTGCTAACCAAAAGTTGGCAGTTGGAACCCACCAGCTGCTCCTTGGAAACCCTATGGGGCAGTTCTACTCTGTCCTATAGGGTTGCTAAGAGTCAGAATCGACTTGATGGCAATGGGTTGGTTTTTATTAAATACTCTACACACCAGTTGGCTTAGAAATCCCACTATCCTAAGGAAACCTTAAAGAGGAAGGATGGGTGTAATGGTGTTGATGTTGATTTCACTTCTAGCCAAATGCCTGTGCAGAGGTTACTGGTTCAACAAATTGTATTAATACATATCTGGAGGTGGCCCACACCCTACTGAAAATGGGACGTGTCTGAACACTGTGAGTACAAGAAATACTATAAAGTGTAAGTGGTGTGTGCATACTGAGGGCAGCAGGTAAAATGTCCGTGTATGATGAGGTGTGAATATGGAACAATGCCAATTACAAGTGTAAAGCTTTCTGTGTTCCTTTTCCCTGTAGAATTGTTAAAATGCAGAATAAAAAATGGAATGGGGTCACCCGGGGTAATCTTTTTGGTTCCTGCCAGAAAGTGGTCTTTAGGGTTTGTGTTATATTGTTAACCTTGAGGCCAGAGAGGCCCCTGAAGGACATCTGTGGTCAGGAGGAGTGGGGGTGACCCCAAGCACGGGAGGAGTAATATCAGTCCCCTCCTTGCATTCCTTGGGACTCCACAGCTGGGAACTGCCTGCAGTTGAGGCGCAGCCTCTGGCTGCATGAGAACCCCCGACTGAGGCTGTGACCAAATCTTCACCTGGTCAGGGTGCTGCTGGGTCTCTCCTGGAGGCCTCACTCCACAAGAAATGCCTCTGGGACCCTTTTTCCCTTAAGACATCTCACTCACGGTGTCCTTGGCCCCTTCCAACCTATAAACCCAGGACCCACCTCTAAAAGCCTCTTTTCACCCCCTCCTCCATCAGGTGAGGAAAAGTGCCATGTCAGGGAAGGAGCAGAGGATGGAAGTTTCTTGAAGAGTAAAGGGATTGGTGGGCATGACCTCTGCCTCTCTTCTTAGCCCCCACCTCCTCCCCGCTCTGGAATGTTTGAGCTGGTTTGTCTCTTCGGGGGCCCCTTCCAGCCAGCCCAGCGGTGGGGATAATCTAACTGCTTACAATGCCATCTCCGCTTGGTGGTGACTCATGCAGACAGACGGTGGGGATTTCTCCAGGGGGAATATTGCTGAAGACTTTTACTTTGCACCATTTTGTATGCTTCTGTGTTGTTTGACTTTTTTTAATGAAGACTGTATTGATTTTATATTTTTATGAACTGTCTATATGTTTTCAGTTTGCAAAAACAAAGACCATATGCCCTTCATCACCCTCCCTTCTCCTTCTCCCCCATCCCTCCACCCTGGGGGCACTGCCCAGGCACAGAACCCAGAAATGACCCCTGGTTCCCCTCACCTTGGGTCTCTATTACATTGGTCGCGGTGCCCATCCATTCTGGCTGGCATATATAGATACATAAAAATTTCTCTCAATTATTCAGTTGTCTGTTTGTGTACCCAACATGCATTTCTGGAGCCCAAGTGTTAGAGGTGCTGCCTCCTCTGTAGCTGCTTATCAGCTCTTTCCTGGAGCAATTACATCCTTACTTGCCAGAACTCCTCTCCTCCCCTCCAATAAAATTTAACCCTATCATCCAGTCCTTTAAACTGGGACACTTTTACAAGTGAAAAGGGACACTATTAATGATTATGACAGGATGACAGCTATAAACTGGGACTGTTCTGGGAAAACCAGGAGTGAGGTCACTCTAGTCACAAGGCTTTCCGAGTCCCTCTCCATTTTGAAACCTCCCAGATGATCAGGTACAAAGCCCAGGGGACCAGATCCAGCACTAATGATTTGCTTTCTTTTCACAGTCTATAATTGAGTCCCACAGAACTCAATCCAATGAGCCCTAGATCGAATGACAAGTGCCCTTATGAGAGAGAGACAGAAGGAAAGTATTGGAGAGAGTGGGTGCCTGGGAGCACCTAGAGAAGTTTTGCTCATCATTGGAGATGTCCATCTCTTGCAGTCCTTGCTGTTGCTTGACCCAGTAGAGGTCCCCTGGCCCCAGAATTAAGCCCAGCTTTCTTAGTCTTGCCTTCAAAAAATAACTGAAGATTTAATTAACAAAAATCCCTGCCCTCATGAGGCTTATATTCCAACAGGGAAAGGGGGTGGGGGAGATGATAATATTAATGACAATAGTAATAATTATTTCTACTATTATTAAGTGGATTTTACAGCGTATTGGGAGTTCATAAGTGCTATCAAAAATGAAAAGGTAGAAAAGGGGGATAGACAGGTTGCAGCCTCATCAAAATGAAAGTGAGTGGAAACAAGTGAACTGAAACTGTCATATGAGTTCTCACATAGCTGCACAGTATGAGAGACTATGAGTGACTCTAGAACAAAGAATTTGGCTACAAATTCTTAGGAGTATGCAGTGTAATACAAAAACGTTATTCAGGATTTATACTCTTTGTATTGGCAGTGTTCTTTTTTGGAAGTATTCTCTTATATTGTCAGATAAAGCAAATAAATAATTATGTTTATTTTGATAGGAAGCTAGATTCTAGGGTTAGTGAAAAGGAGACAATTGTAGACTCAAAAATCTGAGTAGGAACAATGTACTGTTAGAACTGAATTGGACATATCAATATGAAGTCAAGCCTTTATAAAACATTAAACAAAAATTGTAATCTCCTTTTTGGCTTTTTTCCACTGAAACGGCCAAGAAGCAATGTCACCCCCATGATAGACCTTAATGCCCAGATCCTGGTTTGTAATGCTATTTTCCTTACAAAAGGAGCCAAGATTTTTTGGAGCAATGGCTAATTTCATGTCTGTAGCTGAAAAGCATAGAATAATCCTGGAACACCAACACCTTGTTGGGCCAGAAAGCAAGAAAGCTTTAAATAATTGGGTCTTTAAAAATTACATAAGAGTCGACCTAAAAAGGACTTTCACTGGCCAAAGCTGGGACAATGTGGGCATCAAAAGGAGAATATTGGCTGACATCAATTGATAGAATAAATCTGAAAGTCATGAGTCCTTAATGATACACAAAAAGAGCAAAAGATAACATAATGAATCCTCGAAGAAGATGAAGTGAATAGAATGTTTATCTGCTGGGTCTTGTTATTCAATTGTGTTGGGCTTATTGACTCACTCATTGTATCTATGAAGAATACAGTAACTAGTAAATGTGAATACATCAATCAGAAGGCATTTTTTTATGACTCACAGGGAATATGACTAGAACGACCCAATAATTTGTGACCTCAAGTCAGAAGTCAATAGCATACAATTTTAAGTATCTTGTAAACATTGTAGAGTCCTAAGAACATGAAAGAATGCAAGATTTACTCACATTTCAAGGTCTTTAAAACGGTATTTGTTAGGATCCAAAAAAAAAATTCAAAGATCTAGAGTTAGAAGGAGAAAGACATTTACATATGCTAAGAGTTTATAAATTTGGGTAGGAGCTGCAGACTTATCTATTAATTAGAAAAAAAATTCAGTAATGTGTATAACTTGAATCCAGGGAAGTAGGGTAAAGGATTACTCTCCTCCGGAAGTTATGGATTCATTGACATAACAGTCTTAAATAGAGTCCAGCTCTGGCTCTTGGCCTAAAGTTCTGTCGTAGATAATGTTAGTTGCAACAGAGCAGATGACATGTGGTCTGAGGGCCTCCAATTGTCATGAAGACCATACAAACTCCAGTTCAAAGGAGCTTGTGGGCTTGGGCTGTATGAAACCATCATGAGGTAGCCCAAGATGTTTGTAGTGGGCTGAATGGTGGTCCCAAATGATATGTACATGTCCAGTCCCTGGAACCTGTGACTGTTACCTTATTCAGAAAAAGCATCTTTGCAGAGGATCAAGTTAAGGATCTTGAGATGAGGATATAATCCTGTATTATCCAGCTGGGCCCTAAATCCAATGACAAGTGTTCTTATAAGACTGAGGCAGAAAGAGATTTGACAGACAGAAGAGATGTCAACATGACCACAGAGGCAGAAATTGGAGTGATGCAACCACAAGCCAAGGAATGCCGGCAGCCACCAGAAGCTGGAGAGGCTCTCGAGGAAGGATTCTCCCCTAGAGCCTTTGGAGGGAGCTCGGCCCTGCTGACACCTTGATTTCAGACATCTCACCTCCAGAACTGTGAGAGAATAAATTTCTGTTGTTTTAAGTCATGACGTTGTGGTAATTTGTTACAGCACCCACAGGAAACTAATACAGTGAAACCTGTGAGAGCCATAACTCCTCAGGACTGCCTTGTATTTTTAGGTCTTACAAGTTTTCCACCTTCGACAGAGTACAGTCTTACCACTTTTCTATCGCCCTCTATTAGTGAAAAATATTTGAATTTTCCTTCTGTGACAGGTTTCTGCCTTACACAGGTTCTGGTTTTCACAGGTTTTACTGTATAATTCTTTTCCATCTGTTCCTTCCTGAAGACACATTGTTATCATTCTCAAACTCTCACTTCTATTCCAAGTTCCTTTTCAGTATTGTGAGCTCTCAGGCCAACACTGGACTCCATTCTGCACTAATACATTTATTCTGGCCAGGCGTCCTGGTCTCTGGAAAGGAATCTGGAAAAAGAACTGCCTCAAGAAAGTACTGGGCCCCTATGAAATTCTCCTAATCACAACAACAACTGTGTGGTACAATTGCTTCCCTCCTGGGAGAAAATGGAAAGCACAAGAGGATCATTGAAGATTTGCTGATGGAAAACATCCCTAATATCATGAAAGATGAAAAGCTGACCATCCAAGAAACTCAATGAATCCCATATAGGATAGACCCCAAAAGAAAGTCACCAAGACAGTATAATCACACTTGCCAAAATTAAAGACAAAAAGAATCCAGAGAGCAGCTCAAGAAAAATGGAAAGTCACATA